CATCTGCTCCCACGTGTATGGCTGGATGTTTATAAGAGAGATTCATGTTTTCTTAACCCTTGCTTACATATCCTTCATCTTTGCCTATACACTCTTAACCAAATCTGTCCATCTTTGAGATGAGATATCTTTGAGCATTGTTTGAGCTCTTGAGGGTATATTTGCCTTGTTTTATTGCCTAGAATTGGTTCTACTCTTCAAAGGTATAAGGCTTTGTCTCTTTACTTGCTTTATCTACTCTTTTTCTTACTATTTTCCAACTATTTTAGGGCTGTAAAAAGTCTGTATTTTTGGGTTGAAAGTTAGGTTTTAAGGTCAATAAAGGTTGAGGGGTGGTTCACCCTTCTTTACACCTTGTTCTCAAGGCCTTTCCCACCTTTGCATTATTTTTTTTTTTTTGAGCTTTTAAACACTGATTTTTAGAGTTATTTCAGTGGCTAAAATCATATTTTGAAGTCCAAATTTGGAGGGGTTAGCTTCCCCTCCTTGTGTTTTGCTTACTAGCCTAGCATGATCCATGTTTTAGCTTATTGTTCTAGCCATTTTTGTCTTAATTCCAGCATATTTTAGGACTATTTTTAGACTATTTTAGGACTGTTTCTAAGTGTTTTTTTCATTTAAACTTTGTTTTGTATGCTTATAGTGTAATTGTCCTCATGAGTTTTGTGTTTTAAGCCTTAGACACCATCTCATTTGAGTTAATTGTATTTATTTATGGCTTTCCATACTTGTGATCACTCTTAATCACCTCTGCAACCTCCTTCCTTTCTTAGCTTTTTGTTTTGCTTTGAAAGTAGTTTCAAACTACTAGTTTGTTTAAGCATGAGATTGAGATGTCATGCTTAATGGTTTAATCCTTTTTGGGGGTTCATTACCAACGGTATGATGTCTCTTTCATGCCTAAAACAACTCTTGGTTTGAGTCCTCTTTCCATTAGAGGACTTAAATTTACCCTTTGGACTCAATTAACTAAAGAATGGATGGTAATCTAAAATGAAGTAATAAAATTGAGGCTAAAAAAGGTGCAAGATAAGAACTTATTTTGGGTTCAATCGGACATTAATTGAACCCTTGAGTCCTGAGTCGTTTCATACTCATTAGTGATGAAAACGGTTCAAGATTCATTGTCAACTACTTCCCTTGATCCTTCATGATAGGGAGGTGGTTTCGAAAGTTTTGTTTTGTTGCATTCGTTGAACTTGTACACTTGATTCATAACCCATCATGCAATGAAATTGCGTCCATTGGTGATTTGTGAATCAAAATTACTACTCCTTTGAGCTATTCAAATGATAAAGAGGGGTAAATTGTGCAAACAAACCCTTGAGAATACACTGTCTCTGTTCTATTCACTCTCTGTTGTAGCAAGGAAATTCAGTCAGCAGTGGCCAGCAGGCCATCATCAGTGGACGACAGGCCCCCAGCCGGCCACCAGTGCAAAATCCAACAGTGTACTCCCCTAGCAGAATAGAGTTAGTCTGGAGGTGGAAATGAGTGCAAGAGTTTTACTGTGCAACAGAGGCTTTCAACAGTAGAAACAATGACTTTTCGGATGGAAACCGTACATGTATGATCATTCCCCATTTCTCGAGGTGGGATAATTAGAATAGCTAGCTTAGCGCTTATTTCGTGTTGTATTCATCAGTTCGTTTTGATCTGTAATTGTAATTAATTAATTAGCTAGCTAGATTAGTTAATTAATTAGTTCATTCGGTTTGTAATAATTAGTTAAAGTAGTTTAGCTATTTATTTATTTGGGTTTGTAATAGTTGCTTAATTAGCTTAGTTAGCTAGTTAGTTCATTCAGACTCTCCTTCGTAAGAGCGCAAATGTTGTAATAATGTGCATGTCTTCCAACCCCACGTCTTTCTCCTTTTTATTTTAACTGCTTATAATGGTTAGTTTAGGAACATCACATTTTGTTTAGCATATTTCATGTTTGCATCCACTTGTTTTGTATGCACCGAGTCTCGGTTCATCATTCTAACCTGCATTATTAGTTTAGTGCTTCTTTGAAAACGTACTTAGACCGCATGCTATCAAATTGCTTCATATGCCATGTTAAGTAGCCGAGCCTATTTAGATTGTATATTACATGTGTTGTATTAGTTATATCGCATAGTTAGGAATCATGCATTTTTCTAACTCATTTTTCTTTTGGCATGGTGTATTTGGTGAGCCTTTACTCGTTTTAGCATATCGCATGCATGTGATTGTTGCCATATCTAGCATGCTTGCCATGAGGCTAATTACTTAACTGATAAACTGTTTGAATGCCCGTGGATGAAGACTAATTGCTTGAATTGGAATAATTTGAATAATATTTTTATGCGATCACTTTTTCAAGTGATACATATTCGAAACAATTTTAAAAAATAAGCATAAAATCAAATGTTCCAACTTTGGCAAGTTAATCTATACTTGTGTGTGCATCACATAGTAAATTAGCCTAATAAACCGAAACAAGAGCATGTAGTGTAGATAAGATTCATATCATGATTAGTAGAGGCCGATCTTTAATCGGGCGAGTGGGGGTGCTCAATTCATGACCTTTCCCTCTCGTACCTAAGTTCCCGAGCCGAGACAATCTTGGTGATGACGGACACATGGCCTTTGGTACGAGTCATGGGTTTCCTAAAATTTTCCAAAAACATTTAGGTGGCAACTCTATATTTGGCAAAGCAGTCCATTTTTGGCAATTTGATTCAAAATCAATTTTCCAAAAGATTTGCCGGACTGGGACTCTTTGGTGTTTATCTATTTCACATTGTACTTGTGAGATCAGATTCAGAACCGCGGGAGTCCGACACTATAGGGCTTATTCGTCTTCCGAAATGGGGCACAAAAAGTCGAGCTATACATGCAATACTTTCTTTTTGATTTTACTCAAAGTTAATTGTAAAATTTTATGTGAAATACTTTTGTAATAATTTATTCAAGTTTTTGTACTTAATATTAATTCAAAAATTATTATTATCTTCTTATTGTTGGTTATGAAAAAAAAGAAATTAAAGTTGTAATTAATAAATGCCCCTTCTGATTTAGTTTTCTCGCTCTGCCACTGTTTACAGGCAATTGATCAACCCTGATTACTCCAATCAACTAGTTGTAAATCTAGTGCTAGTCACACCTAACCCAAGTGATTTTATCTAAAAAAATCGCTCACAAAAATATGACCCTCTTTTACAAGGAAAATGAAGGGATTGAAAATTCTTTTACAATAACAGCTCAAATTCTCAATATACTTTCTCTCAAAAGAAATAATAACTCAATAAAAATGCACAGAACTCTTAAATATCACTCAAAATTTTCACAACTTCTATATCTTTTCTTTTTCTCCACGAAGCTTCTTTTATAGCTATAGAAAAAACCACCGTTGCAAAGGAATTCTAGGTAAGCTTATCTTTCCTTCTATTTTTCTTCCATTTGAATTCATTAGCCTTTTGGACTTGCCGCATTATTGCCAATGAACACTTCAATCAATCAAAGGAATGAAATGAATAGGAAAAGATATGGAAAGAATTTGAATGAATCTTTTTTTTTATTATTAAATTAAAATATTCAAAAGATGTGCAATAAATTTAATTAAATTTTAAATCCGTACGACATATGATAAAATTCATTTTCATATTTTGTGTCAAATGGTTGTAAAAATATGTATATTAAAAAATTACAATTTATCTCATAATATTTTAAATCTCATCAAAATCAAACCATAGGATTAACATTGTTACACTATGTTTTTTTTTTTTTTTTTAAGAATAAAACTTACATGGATATGGTTTCTCAGTTAATAAATGTTTGCTGTCATTGCCATAAAATTAATAATTTATGCGAAAAACAAAGTTTGCAGAGTAATAGAATTTCCCTACTATGTAATCCCATAAAGAACAGTATCCATTACAAAAAAATTAACTTTTTGCGACGGTAAAATACCGTCGCTAATACTCCTAATGCCGTCGCTAATACTTTTTGCGACGGCAAGAGGGGGTCGCAAATGGAGGGGTTGCAAAAGACTTTTTGCGACGGCACAGTGCTGTCGCTAATGTTTTGTGACGGCATTTTTGCCTTTTTGCGACAACACTGTGCAGTCGCTAATAACGTTTGAAATTTCTTGACTTTTTTGCGACGACACGATTTTACCGTCGGTAAAAATGTTATTTGAGATGGCAAAAAATATCGTCGCTAATAGTCTTTTTTGCAACGGCAGAAACACTTTTTGCGACGGTGTGGTGCCGTCGCAAAAAGTATTAAAAATATGAAAATTTCCATTTTTGCAACAGTGTAATGCCGTCGCAAAAAGTATTAAAAAATAATAAAATTTCTATTTTAAATAATAAAATTTCTATTTTTGGCGACAGTATAATGCTGTCGCAAAATGTAAAACCTGTAACAAAATTAATAAAAATATTAAAATTTTCTATTTTTTGCGACGGTGTAATGCCGTTGCAAAAAAGAAAAAATCCTACGATAAAAATATTAAAAATATTAAAAATTTTCCATAATAATATAAAAATAACAATTTCTTCACGATAATTACAAGTATGTCCCTGATTGAATTCTATAGGATATTAGATTGAATTCTTACTTTCATCCCTGATTGCAAGTATGTCTCTAAAAATTACAGTTCACCCATGCCATGACTAGGTAACCATCTTTTTTGCTTCTCATGTTTCAGAGGAATTTTCCACGAAAAAAGTGCTCTCTAAACCGGAGATGAAAGTAGTTTTCCATCAGACCCACAACAATGGAAACAATAAATGACACATTAGCAACACACATTACCCTCAGAAATTGAAGCTGTTCGATGACATGAAAATCTGTCAAAAGGAAATGAGTTCATTGATTAAGCGGGCAACTGACTTAACCAGAACGTTGTCCTTGCAGAAACTACCATCATCATCCCACATGAGATGGCAATATATCTCATAGCGAAATATTCAACAGTATAGAAGCACAGAAATGGGAGTCTAAAAGCAAGCAAAACAAATGCCTCTATGCATAGAGAACAGAGTATTTTCACATATAGAGTCCTTCTGGCACCCCCTCTTTCTTCTTGAACATGACCTTATCTTTAGCCTTCTTGAAGTCTGAATGCGTAACCTGAGGCACACATAGAACAATTTCTATTAGATGAAGTCTAAACAACATGCAATTGTATAAAGCATCCAATAATTTCTATAGATTTTGAATTCACAAGGACAAAGTTAAGGACCTCAAGACTGACGTGGACATATATATTTAATGGACAGGCAAACTCAGAGAAATAACTAACACAGTGGTTCATTTATTTACTCTTGTAATAATTAATTATCATTGAGGTTTTTGTTCTTGGTTAGTCTAATTATCATTAGTAGTATTTCACTTTGTTCTGCTCTTTCCGTAGTTGAAAAGGCAAAACTTAGACATCATGAGTTCACTAACATATACGAGGCCAATGTCACCTATGCATATTGTGTGCCTAAAAATTGAATACGAAGTCAAAAAAATCTATACTTTGTGAAATTTACTAACCAAATAGATTCCAGTCTAATATTGTTGATTTCAGCTGCGTTTGGTTCAAGGATTTGGGGATTAACATTTCACCTACATTTTCTCTTTCCTTTTCCAAATCCCTCCCCAAATCCATGAACCAAACACTGCCTTAAGGATTCCAAACAACCAGCAAAATAAATATTGGACTGGGGGATTTGCAACAGAATATGTCCACAAAACAGGCCATAATCTTTTTGATCAACAAAAACAAACAGGCCATAATCTGCCTCTTCATTTTTGTTTCTTCCTTTGTTTTGCTTCTCGATATTTTCCCTTCACAAACTCCCATCTTTTTTCTTTCTACAAAGTTGAAAATTAGATCTATAGGAGGGGACCCAATATAGTATAACTAAGGGTCTGAAAACACTAATCCTTACTTAAAGTTCATCTGTGTCTAATACTCTCATATCTCCACTTTACAAGCCAAAATTCAGAGCAGCCAAAAAGCATCATGTTTTAAGAATTAGTTGTAACACGGAATTGCAACAAACACAAATGATACACATATAATTCAACAATGAAGTTGTCTCACCTTCATACGGCGCTCTCTTAGAGCAAGTAAACCAGCTTCAGTACATATTGCCTTTATATCGGCTCCAGAAAACTCATCCTTGGTCATAACAAATTCTTCTAAGTTGACATCATCAGCCAACATCATCCTAGATTTGTGTATCTGCATTTCTGACATAAAAGGTTTGCTTGGCACATAAGTTATCATAAAGATAGGGTTAATGGAAATCTATATTAATAATTAATCTTATATTTGCATAATCATGTCATGCATTTACCTGGAAGATGCGCCTCCTAGTCTTAATATCAGGAAGTGGGAACCTAAGTTTTCCTTCTATGATGCGGTTTAGCCCCATTATCAGATAGAAGTCAGATGGCATGGAAGGTTCCAATAGTGGATTTAACCATATTATAGCATTTTGTAACTAGAACCAAGGCAAGTACTAAACTGTTGTTCATAATGTCGACAGAGACTTAGTGTACAGATATTTGTACTCCATTAAAAAAGTCGAAGTGGGGATAAAGACTAAACTAAAGGGTAATGCATATTTGTAATCCATTAAAAAAGACGAATTGGGATAAAGACTAAACTAAAGGGCAGTTAAAAAAAATTAAATAAAAATAAAATTACTACAAAAGTTATCCAAATTGCTTACAAAATAATGAGAAATGTTATGTGTCACAAATTTTTTGTTACTGTTTTGTATCACCGCCTACGTGAATAATCATGACTGGTCATTAAGAAAATAATGAAAACAAATACTATCTTGCCATGTGCATGGAGATATCAAAGGTGCAAAAAAATGGGTCACATATATCAGTTCTCAAAAACAATAATTTAGCTCATGCAAAAATGAAATAAGTATACATGAATCTAGAATAATTAAAGGGTTAATAGACACCATAAAAAAAAATACTAGAAACCAAATATAAGGAATGAAAATCAAAATGGAATTTAAACAAGGCCTACACTAATGAATTATGAACAAACATTTTGGAATGAACTCCAACACTAATGAATTACGAACATACATTGTGGAATGACCTATATATTCCTACAAGGAAAAATGCTAATGCTCCATTAGGCTGCCTAATTACAGCCGGCCAATTATTTCGTCTCAGAGAATCATGTGGTATTGTCCACGTGGCACTCCAGCCAATGAAGCAACAGAAAATTTTATGGATGGTATAATGCTTACCCATGTTTGTTGGGTAGTTGAAAGACAAATGATGACCCACCTAATATGTTTTGTGGTTCTTAATTTGTTGACAGCACACCACATAGGCTAATGGCACATGGTAGTCTGGACAACCTAATAATTTTCCTTCCATGACACAAGAAATAAATAAAACTTGGTATCTCGTAAAAAGTGGGCAGGCAAGTTTGTCTTCTTATCTTCTGTGATTTGTTGGCTTCAAATTAAAAAGAAAAAAAAAAAAGGATAGAGGGGTAGGGGTAATCATGAAGAACTTCTGGTTACGGCTAAGATTATGAAATTTATCCAATATAGTGATCGTTTCCCAAAATATGACTGTATCGTGCTAAAGATCATTTTAAAGCTATACAGAAACAACCACTTCTCTGCATTTATTTCTCAAAGAAATCTAACAGTTGCCCACTTAGCTTACCGTCCATTTCTATCTTTCAGTCTCAACTTCATTGAAAATGCTTAAGATTAATATTTTGTTTGGGAAAGAAAAAAACAAAGTTTGTTCTCGCGTTTGATCAAACACGTGATGCCACAAACAAAGTTCATTCATATTTACATAAATCTTTGATACATGGATGACCAATTTGAACCAAAATGAACACAGAATGGTCTGATAATAATCCGATCAAATAATCTAATATAAAAAATTACGAGAACTTACAGCCACACAAGGAGCAAAAGTAAACTGAGCGCCACGAGCCCTAACTTCAAGAGCAGTTGCAACTCCAATCCTCCTAACCAACTCTGCATCTCTGTCACACAAACTAACACTCTCTCAAGCAACAACAATAGTTACATATAATACCTAGTAGCTCCAAGGCCAATGTTGTGAGGAAATACAGTGGCACCGTAGACGTTGTTGTTGCCACGAACAGCGTCAGTACCGTAGAGAAGTGGAATCCCGAGGCGAGACTCAAGCGCAGCGTTCTGAAATCTGTTAATCATATCGATCCAATCGGACGACGTTGCTTTCTCGAACGGTCCACCACCGCCGGCGCTGAGAATACTCCCTGAGAAATCAATGAATCAAAGATCAAAGGAAAAAAATGCATAAAAACAGAGAGAGAGAGAGAGAGAGAGAGAAAGAGAGACCGATGGAGAGGTCTCGAATGGATTGAGAGGTTGGGTGTGAAGTTGCTTCACTGCACTGGTTGATCGATTTGAGTGATCTGGCCGATCTTCTTGGACAAGGTCATTCGAGAGAGTAAGTCTTTGATTCTGGATTCGATTAGGGAGTTAGGGTTTTTGTAAATGGGATTGTTGTTCATGTTCTTGGCTTTTCTACTACTACTGCTCATTTTGTTCAGCTTGAAGAACCAGGCGTGATGGATTGAGAGGTTGGGTGTGAAGTTGCTTCACTGCACTAGTTGAAGAGATTGGGAATTTTGGGTTTGGGGTGGGGGAAAACCCGGGCGGGAATGGGGGGGAAAGAGATTAGGGATTTTTGAGATTGGGGATTTTGGGTTTGGGGTGGGGGAACCGAGCGGGAATGGAAAAGGCAGGAGGGAGAATGAAAATTTTTTTGGATTTTTTTTAATTTTCATTATAAATAAATATTTAAATAATAAAATGACTTCTTTTTTTTTTTTTTTTCCCATGTAGTTATTTTACTTGGAACAATTTGCTCGCAAAAGGGAGTTGGTGGCTACTTCCAACTCCATTCCTCGCTTATCCTATTGGGGCAATTTAAGGTTGAAAATTTATTTGTTTCATATTTATTTTAATAAATAATTTTTTTTTTTTTATTTGGTAGAAGTAGGGATAATATTTTCCATTAAAATAAAGTTAATTTTTTGTGGTCAATGTGGCATTTGCAGTGGTAGTAGTGGTAATAATGGAATGGCATTTGCAGTAGTGGTGAATGTGGTAGAGAAGATGGGTGGTGAGAAAGAGATGAGTGAGAGACAGATAGAGAAGAGAGATAGAGAGAGAGAATAGTGATAAGTGAGAGAGAGACAAAGAGACAAAGAGATATAGAGAGAGACAGGGAGACAGAGAGAGAAACAGATAGAGAGAGATATATAGAAAAATAGAGAGAAACAAGAAATGAGCGAGAGATAGACAAAGAAAGAGAGAAAGAGAGCGAAAAGAGATGATCGAGAGAAAAACATAGAAAAAAAGAGAGACGAAGAGAGAAGAAAGATGAGCGAGAGAGACGAAGAGAGAAGAAAGATGAGCGGGAGAGACGGAGAGAGAGATAGAGAGAAGATAAATGAACAAGAGAGAAGAGAGATAGAGAGAAGAGAGATGAGCGAGAGACAAAGAGAGAAAGAGAAAGAGAAAGAGACAAAGACAAAGACTGACAGACAGAGAAGAGTGATGAGTGAGAGAGAGAAGAGATGTAATATTTTGTGGTAGAGAAGAGGAACCGACAGTAGTGGTGAAGGTGGTGGTGGTGGTGGTGGTGATGGCGAAGGAGATTAGTGGTGAAGTTATGGTAGTAGTAGAGTAGATGGAGTAGCAAGGGTGAAAGAGAGGTAATTGTAGTAATAGTAGTAGTGGCAATAGTGGTAGTGGTGGTAGTGGAGTGGTGGCGATGGTAGTAGTAATGGTAGTCGTAGAGGTGAAATGGCGACCGTGGTAGTAGTGGTGGTAGTGAAATGGCGTTTGCAGTAGTAGTGAAGGTGGTAGAGGAGATGAGTGGTGAGAGAGAGAGAGAGAGATGAGTGAGAGACACAGAGAGAGAGAAAAAAAAAAAGAGATGAGAGAAGAGATAGATGAATGAGAGACACAGAGAGAGAGAGAGACGAATAGACAGACAGAGAGAGAAGAGTGATAAATGAGAGAGAGAAAGAAAAGAGAGAGAAAAAGATGAAAAAATGGGTGAAAAGATATAGACAAAGAGAGAGACAGAGAAAGAGAAAAAAAAGAGCGAAAAGAGATAAACGAGAGAGAGACAGAAAGAGATGAGCGAGAAAGCGAGAGGGAAAAAAAGAAGAGACAGAGAAGAAAGACAGAGAGAGAAGATAGATGAAAGAGATAGAAAGAATAGAGATAGACGAGAGACATAGAGAAAAAGAGAGAGAGAGATAGACAGACGGACAGAGAAGAGTGATGAATGAGAAAGAGAAAGAGAAAAAGAAGAGAGACAGAGACATAGAGAGAAAGAGAGAGACGGACTGACAGAGAAGAGTGATGAGTGAGAGAGAGACAGAGACATATAGAGAAAGGGAGAGACAGACAGACAGAGAAGAGTGATGAGTAAGAGAGAGAAAGAGAAGATAGACAGAGACAGAGAGATAGGAAGCTGAAAAAATGGGTGAAAAAAGAAATGTTCAAAAGAGTAAGACGACGTCGTTTATAGTGGATCGATAAATCGAGAAGGAGCTCGATAAATAGAGAAGATGGGAGTAAGAGAGTGAGCAAGGTGAACATAGTGAGGGAGAAATAGACAAATAGACAAGTAGAGAGAGAGAGAAGGGTGGTGAGTGAGAAAGAGAGAGAGAGAGAGAGAGAGAGAGAGATAGAGAGAAAGATAGAAAAAGAGAGAGAAACAAGAGATGAGCGGGAGATAGACAAAAAGAGATGAGTGAGAGAGAGACACAGAAAAAGAGAGAGACAGAGAGAAAAGAGAAATGAGCGAGAGAGATAGAGATAGAGAGAGATAGAAAGATAAGAGAGAGAGAGAAAAGAAATGAGAGAGATAGAGAGAAGAGAGATGAGCGACAGAAAACAGATGAGAAAGATAGAGAGAAGAGAGATAGACGAGAGACACAGAGAGAAAATGAGAGAGAGAAACAGACAGATAGAGAAAGAAGAGTGATGAGTAAAAGAGATAAAGAGAAGATAAAGAGATAGAGACAGAGAGACATGAAGATGAAAAAATGAATGAAAAGAGAAATGTTATATTAAAAGAGTAAGAAGACATTTTTTTTAAAATTTTTTTTGCGACAGAAAAAAGTACTAGAATTTATTCAAACCATTTTGTGACTGTATATATATGAAGCTGTCTCAAAACCACAATCACTATGCTAGGTTAGAGTTTTCCAAAAACTCTTTTGAGAAAATTATACTTTCTTGTTTTCCGTGTTATATTGTTTTTACTGAATTTTTTTAATATTTTAAGTATTTTTTTTAATTTTTAGACACACCTAACATAAATACACCTAAAAATTTTAAAAATTGTAAAAAAATCTTTTAAAAATTCACTAAATACCAAA